GGGGGAAGCAGGGGGGAGGGAGGGTAGCAGCGGGAAGGGAAGGTGGAGGTTGGAGGCGAAACGAAGCGGTCGTGCCTGTGTCGTGGTCCCGTTCCGTCTCGCCTCCCCGCCCCGGCGCTGCCGGAGTGCCTGTGACCAGGGTGAGTCTGTGTTTCTGTGTTCCAACGTCCTTCTTCATCGTTTTCAGGGAAGAAAGCTCGGACTTTCGACCTTGAAGCCATGTTTGAGCAAACGAGAAGAACTGCAGTGGAGAGGAGCAGGAAGGTCTTAGGTAAGGAATGCGAGGGTGGTGAGCGAATGCATTTTAAAACGGGTTTTGTTTTTCCATCTTGGGGTGATGTTTAGTGTCTCAGACTGGCTGCCTAGAGAATAGAAAACAAATGTAGTTTTCTTCAGGGAAGACAAGCCTAAACGTCTTGGGGCTTGGTAAATATTAAAGTTATTAATTTACATATGCTGTCTGAGTATGTAAAAGCAGCACGTGTGTATGAGGCATAGCTTAGATGCAAGAAAAGAGTGAATTTGAACACAAGACTATTTCCTTTCTTCCTTTACTTAGTTATGTATTTATTTTGGAATATCCCAGATAACTCTTGGAAATGCCTCCTCTACTACTGGAACTGTGTGTAGAAAGAACTTAGATCAAAATTTCTTTCCTGGCTCTGTATGTTCCCGTAACTTGTGTTTCTCTTTGGAGGAAAATGTTTCTTAGCTTTGCTGCAGAACATATGTTTCTTTTTAGTTTGGTTAACAAATAGCAAACAAGAAAAGATGTTTCTTGTTGTAGTGGTTTAAGCCCATGGAGCAACTGAACACCATGCTGGTCCCTCACTCCTCCCCCCTGGGGGGATGAGGAGGAGAAAATAAGACAAAAGCGTTGGGAATAATGGATGAGTCAGCCCTCCCTGTCTTCATCTTGTGATTATCATGGGCAAAAGATCTCGATTTGGGGAAAAAAATACTCATCAATTTTATTTGAACACCACCAGCACTGATTTACCAATCAAATCAGAGTAGAGTAATGAGAAATAGAACTAAATCTGAAAAACACCTTCCCCCCACCCCTCCCTTCTTCCCACATTTGTCTTTTCTCTTACCTCCTCCCCTCCCAGTGGCACAGGGGGGAAGGGACAGGGGTTGTTGTCAGTTCATCACCCATTGTTTCTGCCGCTCCTTCCTTCTCAGGGGGAAGACTCCTTACACTCTTCCCCTGCTCCAGTGTGGGGTCCCTCCCATGGGAGACAGTCCTCCATGAACTTCTCTGATGTGAGTCCTTAGAATGGGCTGCAGCTCTTCATGAACTGCTCCAGAGTGGGCCCTTTCTGTGGAGTGCCATCTTTCAGGAATAGACGGCTCCAGCGTGGGCTTCTCTTAGCGTCCTGGCTTTCTAAAGGTGCATCCACCTGCTCCAGTGTGGGGTCCTCCACGGGCTGCAGGTGGGCATCTGCTCCTCTGGAGACTCTGTGGGCTGCAGGGGCACAGCCTGTCCTCTCACCACGGGCTGCAGGGGGGCTCTGCTCTGGCATACCTATCCCCTTCCTCCTTCAACTAACTCTTGTGTTTTCATGGGTATTCCCCTCACTCCTCTCCACTGCAGGTTCCTCTTCTTAAATATGTTATCACAGAGGCACAGCCACTGTCACCGATTGGCTCAGCCTTGGCCAGAGGCAAGTCTGACTTGGAGCCTGGGGAAGCTTCTCATAGGAGCCACCCCTGTGGCACATCCCTGCCTACCAAAACCACACCATATAAACTCAATACACTTGTACAGAGAAAAAGCAACTTTTTTCCTGCTAAATTGAAGTTATTTGAACACTTCTAGAAATATAGTAGCTGTATCTGTTACCCTGTCATAATCCTACCATTCTTATTTATACTCTGAAATCGAAGGTTCTATTTACTTTGATTTTGTTGTACTGTTCCATGGTGATTTTTTTTCAGTAATTGAAGTGGGCATAACTCTTAATACTAACAGCTCTGTATTTATTTTCTATAAGTCATATTCAGAGTTCACTTATTTACACCTGTGTAGATTTACATACTAATTTAGTTCCCTATGCTATGAAGACTTCAAGAATTCTGAAGTAGTCATACTGTTTTAATATAGTGTTGAAAATATTGAAATATCAGCATCCTTATATGATCAACTTCTGTTTGATAGTGTGTACAAACTAACAACTGGAAGATGTTTGCATTTACATTGTGACATTTTGTTTTTGAGTGATTGTTGCAGTAGCAATGGAAATCTATATGGAAAAGTAGTTATTTTCAAGTGAAATTCTTTATTTAATGTTATCTTTTCAAATATTTCTTATAGATATGAAAATGAAGGAAACTATTTTATTGTCCTCAGCAAGTCTGATTTTATTATCTCCTAAAAGTCTTGGTTATTTTGTCATTTATATGCTGTCTGTATTCAGAGGCCCGTGAAAGAGAGAAGGAAGACCAAGCTGAAAAAGAGTTTAGACGTCCCTGCACTGATTCATCAGCTTCAGCAGCCAGTGCAACAGGAGCTGGGTCCACATTAAGCCAAAGGTACTTAGATATGATGGGAGATTCCATGTAACAGCTTTCTTATCCAAAGAGGGGTTTTGTTGTACATTTTTTGTTTTTTTGTTTTTTTTTAAAAAATGAGTGTCATTTAACTTATATGAGCATGTGTATGTTATCTGAAGTATTTCAGTGGAAATAGTGATTTAGTAAATTTTTTTTAATCTATGCTTTCTTAAACATGTGTCAATATTTGCAAATATTGACATTATGCATATTTAACGGTTATTTTTCTTCAGTCTCCTCCCTGGTCTTACTCAGCATATTTCTTAAATAACACCAGTGTTGTTATCTGTGGATTTTTTGAAAACATGAGGGCAAATATAATTACTTCATGTGCTGACTTAATGAGCAGCTGTTGTTCCCACTTGTAGATAAATATACTTGTTCATGTCTGCTGAAAAAGAAAGCAAAGTAGGTGGTGATAGCCTCTGTATGCACATTGTATAGCGTAGTGGTGGGGTTAAGGAAGTATTTTGTTTTGACTCAGTCTGAAATTTACTCTCAAAAGTAGCTGAAGGGAATGGGGGCCACACAACTCCATTGCATGGCAGGGATTATGGAGATCGCCGTAATTTTTGCCTCTTGCTCTATGAAAAACTCATATACTACTACCCTATAGATCCTGTGTTACGTCTTGTGCAGGAGGGAAAAATATTCTGTGTTCCCATTTGCTTTTCATGGTCTTAGACACATAACTGGTGAAATAATGAAGGATTGCAAGAATTTAAATGTAACATGATTGTGTACTATATACAGATGACTTCAATATAAAGAATCGATTAAAACAGATGGTAAGGTGGAAAGCAGTGAGGTGATCCAGAGCCTTTCCCTGATGATCTTATTTTGCTTGTGGACTTGACAGAATTCCAGGCACTTTTTGTAATGGAAGAAAACAAATATCTCTCAGTATTTTGAGTAGGCTCTGGTAATTCACCACAGTTCTGCTCATACTAGTTCTCTTTGTGTTTTTGTGGGGTTTGTTTATTTGTTTTTTGTTTTTTTTTTTACCAAGCATTGAGAAGGGAGATCATGACATGAAAAACTCTGGAAGTTTTGCATTTCCTTGTAAAATATTATATGTACCTTAGTACTTAGTGCTAAAAACAGGAAGCTACTGAAGGAGACATGCCATTGTGGCTCAGCCTTAATTCAGAAGAACAATCCTACAACTGACAATTTAAGTCTGAAATACAGGACTCCTGGTAGTTCTTTTTTTTTGTAATGTAGATTTTAGTTACTATAAACTGATCTAATATATATATATAGCTTGTTCTGTTCTCTGAAAATGGCAACGCTTTCCTGAATATTACTTTTTTAAAAATTCCAAGTACTTTCAGTTATCATAGTAACCCTCATACTGATTTTTTGTTAAAAAGGGGTTGGTCACTCCAAAAAGATGTGAAGAACAGCTCCTGATTCTTCTTGCTTTCGAGCTACTTTTGCTGTAGAGAAGTGTTCACAATAGTTATGGTACTTATTTATTCATACATAAGTGTAAGTATGCTTTGTGAAATGAAAGCATTTGCTAGTACATAAAGAGGGAAAAAAAAAAAAGAATACAGAGTGAGTGATGTGAGGGGGGAAATATGCTCACATATTTGCACAACTCTCAGAATATTTTTGCTTATTTCCCCTGTCTGTGTACCATCTGTGCTCTGATGCAGCTTTTTTTCCTCTTACAGCTTGTTTTACTTACAGAGGAGGTAATGAGGGAAAGCAAAACCAATTCCTCACACTTCTTTGAATCCTGGGAAAGGGACTGGCAAACTGCTGTTTCTTTACAGCCTCTTGTCAAATAAGCATGTGAGGCTGAAAGTTGAAGTAAAAGCCACTTGTTTTGTCCTTTGTCAGCACCACTCCTGGTCACTGTCAGAAGTGTAGATGGGCTTTCGGTCTGGCTGCATTGGGATGTTCTTAGGTTTGACTTCCTTCCAGCGAGACAGATACTGGTAGTTGTACAAGGAGTACTTGGCTGTAGCCAAGCCAAGCTTGTAGTGTGGTGATAAATAGCACTTCAATTCTGGCCATTCCATATGCAGAGTGATAAACGCTGCCCCTCAAAATACTGAAATGTTTGATTTGATCTGTTTATCCTTCCTAGCAAATGAGGGAATGGTAATAATAGATAACTTCCAAGGAAGCTAGCTATTGTTTTTGGGTGTCTGTATAAAGATCTGAAAATCTGGGACTCCAGGATTGTAAAGGCTTCCTTGATTCGTTGTGTTCTATACATTCCTCTCAGTGGCAGCTAATGTGTATATTTAGTTCTGTTCCAAAACTAACTAAATATTTTGGCTTTTGGAGAGAAGATACGTGGTTTGCTAGCCTGGGAATGCGTAACGCCTCTTAAAACACAACTCTTCTGCAGTGTTGTAAAGTTAAGCTTGAAGAATTTTGAAGGTCCCAACCTGTTCTTCACATGCTGGAAGCTTCCTTTTGGTAGAAGGATATTGATGGTCCCATTGTTGTAGAGTAGGAGCAGCTCTTTCTATTTGAATTAGGTTTATTAGATAATTGTATTCTGATCTAGGTCTCTAATGTCTCTCACTATGCAAAACAAAGTTGGTATGTGGAGGCAATATATTTTATTAGGCAAGTAAATATAGTTGGAAAAATCAGATAAGCTTTCAGGCATGCAGACTGTTCTCATCACCATAACATCTGAGGATCTAATTTGTGTTTGTTTTAATTTATTTTGATTTCTTCCTGAAATAGAATTTCAGTTGCTTATCCAACACAGCTATTTGCTGTGTAACCTACTACCTGCTTGGTGTACAGCTGGTTTGGGGGGTGGAGTGGCGTTGCATTCCCTGTCACAGTTACATGGTTCAGAACATATTCTCTTAATCCTTCAATATATTCTTAAACTTGTGTGTATTTATTATAGTTTTATATGATATCTGAAAAAACCCTCAATAGCTCTGTAGTCTGTGTTTTGATTTTTTGTTAAACTGTTTTGCAGCCTGCTCACTTAAAAACTCACATACATGCTCTTAAAATATAAGCTCCCAAACAAAGTCTTAGCATTTGAGCTCATCTCTGAATCTGAAAAGAACATCTGATTTCCACTGCAAGATTTCACTGTATATGATACACTGTATCTAGACAAAAGTTTTCTGCTTGTCACTTTTAGACCTTCTGCCAGTTAGAATACCACCTACTTGATAACTACCAGCAGAGGGAGCACGTTTATTTTGAATAAACGGAATAAACCTGTACTAAATAGCTCTACTTCTCAGAAATTTTCCAGTGCCAAAAGTAATGTGTTCACACAACTGATTTGGACAACACAAACCTGATAATTTAGTGTAAGTTTTAGAACCTAGATTTGTGACAATACCAAATAGTTGTTCAAAAGTGCCAAATTCCCTGTTAGTCTTTACCAACATTATAAAGCAAGTGCCATGCTTTGTGTTCTTATTCTGGTTGTGAGCCTGGAAGGTTACTGTTTTGAGTTCCACCCAGCTAGCAGAGACATAGAGCATCTGCAAAAGCTGCAATTGGTAGAAGAATTTTGAAAATGCACTGTAACATTATATTCTGTTGGCTCCTAAGTAGTATTGAAATCCATACTAGTGATGTAGTACTGCTACTTTTACAATCCGTCTAACTACTTCTTTGTTTTATTTTGTCCAGTTTTTTGAACTGTCATTATGGTATTCCTTTAAAGCTTTGTTGATGCTTTTGAGATGATGGTGGACCTACACTCTGCTACAAATTAGTTTATGATTTACTGCTAATTTCAGTGTTTACAAACTTACAACAGTGCTCAACATCTTTTATCTGAAAATTCCTGTGGAAGTGCCAGTGTTCTTGACATGGTAATTTAAAAATTTTTCCATGCAGAGAGAGAGGCTCCAGTGAAAGTGAAGATAGCTCAGATGAAGAGTTAACTGGTCCTTCCATGCAATCCCAGACTTCTGCTCAAGGTCCAGCTGAGGATACTGATGATGATGAAGATAATGAATTCATCGGGCCACCACTTCCACCTGGGTTCAAGGATAGTGATGACGATAATGACAATGATGATACAGAGGAGGAAGATAATGTAAGTATTTTGTTCCTCTTCAGTGTTTTAATGCTTCTAGTAGACTCTTAATTTGTAAGTGTGCTCTTTCATTTACAACTGAATTTGCAGGTGAAGCATGACTTGTTTGAAACGCAGGGTTTTTGTGTTTTTTCTAATAACTACTCAGCAAGTACAAATAATTGTTTTTTTTTCAGAAATATCAGGATTTTAAAAAAATCCACAGATGCGAGAGTCATCATTAGTTAGTATATACTGTTTACTCTTTTGTTTTCACATTATGAAAGAACTATATAAATGTATATATAAATATTTTTTAATGGTTTGTTTCCCAATGCATGTATAGATTTTTTTACAAGAAAGAGGAGGTAGAAGTGGGGTTGTATCTAGGGAGAACAATTGTGCCAGAACTGTTCTGAGAAAATGAACTGTGGTAACTGAGGGCTTTTTATTTTTCTTTCAGTTTGGTTTGTTTCTAAATCTAAATAAGTACCAGATGTGTTTGTTAGACTGGTTTGTTAAGGTGAATATAGATTGTCTTTTCTATCTATGTTAAAAGTGAGAAAACCCCTAACAGCCTAACTTGGGTATCACAGATACTCAGTTGACAAATCTCTCTCTATTTGGTCAAAAGTGTACTGGTTTGATGTTCATTCTCCAAAACTTTGTGGATTTAATATTTTGTGGCAGTGGATTTTGTGTGATGGTTTACACGTTGTTTTGTATCAACAGTGTTGGAAGTCCTGTAAAAACAGCCTTCAAAACTTACTGTTTTGAAGCATTTGGTAGCAGAAAAAACCTGTATGTCCTGTTGCACAAATATAAACCTAATCATAAGAAATAAATTCCCAGGTATCTCCAGGTTTTCTTGTCAGTTCCTCTTCAGTTTTGACTAGGTGTTCAGTTTGTTTGTTCTTTTCCAATAAAATCTCTTACTTTGCATCTTGTGAACTTTAAAATATAAGTTTAGACTACTCAAAATGAGCAAGAGGAGCTTCTTAAGCAGTGACATAACTGATTTTTAGAGTGAGCCTAACCTTGTATGATCACGATTTTTGGTTTTGCGTTTGGTCTTGTTTTTCCCCAGTGGTTAAGTGATGGAAAATTCTGATGCCTTAGGGTTAGCTGTTACTTTGTCTGATCTGTTTGATTTACCGTTGCCTATGTATTTCTTTTAATTATCTAACTGAATACTTTAGTGCCGTATCTCCTGTCATCTCATTTGTACCCCATACATGACTTGTTCTGTCCTAGAAAACTACTGTGGGATAAATCTCAGACTTTCCTTAAGAGCCTTGTAAGCCTTAAGTTAACTTAGGACTTACTATTGATCTGTATCAGGAATTACCTTTAACTTTTTTAGCTGTTACGGCACTGTGGAGTGAGTCCATATTCCTGAGGGTGTCATAGACTCAGCAGATTTCAGTTGCTGTGAATCATGTCATATTGAAGTCACTACTTCTTTTCTGCTAATTTTCACCTGTTCTCCCATCTTAGGTCTGCTTGTTCATACATTTTCAGTTCACAGTAAAGTCTTACAGTGCTTTATCAAGAAATGTTATCAAACCTGAATCTCTTCAACAGATAATTAGTGTAAGAGCTCCTGTCTTGAAAAGTACTTGTATTTGTTGATGCTGAAGGAAATGTTTGGTGGTGTTCTGTTTTGTCTCTAAATACTTTCCAAACTCTTTCAGTATTTTCCTGAGTGTTAGTGTGTCCACAGATTGTGGTGAACTCAGATGCTTGTCACTTTAAAAAAAACCCACAGTATATTACACAAAGAACAAAAACTTCTGAAAGTACCTATAGCTGCTAACTTTTTGTGCATGTATGTATTAGGAAGTGGTAAATCTCAAAAAATGCATGCTTGTTCTGCACAGGTGTTTTGTTCTTTGTATGGGGTCTCATCAGAATGCCCTTCTAAATCACAGCTCTCCCCAGCTGTTCCCATTTCTCTTCCCAGTAAAAAAAAAAGGTCTTTTGCTCTTTTGTCAGCACTTCTGAAACTTGTAACTGCCTTATAGCACTGAATAATTGAAGACACACAGAGAGAAACAGCCAGACTTAGGAATCAAGTCCTGCCACATATCTTTAGTCTTTGGGAGAGTAAAAGTTTTCCAAGATGCTCAAAGGATTTCACTGTATACGGTTCTAAAATAAAACAGTGTAAACTTGAAATCATGTTATATCCTGGCAAGTAAATCCAAGGTTAAGCCTCATGTCTGCTAATATTTCACTGAAGTATTGCACAAAACTTTGCATGAGAAATCTCTTGTAACTATTCATCCTGATCACTTCTACGCAGATTTTATTGTTTGTTGCTTTGTTTTAATGTTATGTTCTTATTTTTTAAACAACGGGAGATTTGAAAATGCGAGAACTATAGGAAATGGTTGTTTTAGGCTAAAAAAAAAAGTAAGTTAATATTTCTGTGGGATGCCTTCTCATCAGAGTCTTAAGAAATTAAGATGATTTCTAAACTGAGTATCTCCAGATTGTTTTTCCTAATAATTAAGAAAATTTTCCATGTGTTGGAAAATCAAGAGAATTTTGGTTAAAACCCACACTTATCAGATTAGCTAAATAATGGTGGTTCATCTTATATACCTATTTTTTCTTGTAACTCATGCCAGAAAATACTTATGTAAATGACAGTTGATAAAAGTAGCTTGTGATTTGACCATAGTTTTGTTGTAAGACTGAATTAAAATTTGGGAAAAATTTTCCCTGGTTCTGTCCAGAGATGTCGCTCTCTGTGGTTAGCAAAAAGCATGGTATATTTAGGCTTTTATAGTTCCATTCTGAAGTAAAGTATATATAGAGAGATGCTTTTCAGTTAAGTGTGTTGGCAATTGTCTTGACTGCTTACAGTGAATTAGCAAAACTATTCAGTTGTGTCAAAGTTTCACCACATTGGTCAAGTAAGCTATAATGGAAATAGACTAAATATTCAACATCTGCTTTTATTGCATCATCAGTGGAAGGCTGGCATCCTTTGACATCTCTTTTGTTGAGTAATTTTATTAGGTTCACATGAATCAAGAGTCCTATACATACTAATGTTCCAGTTTGTAGTATAATCATGTCTTTTGTCTCAGTAGTGAGTATTGAGTGCTATATGGATTCCTAAGTGTCATTATGTTCAAACTATAGATTAGTGCTAAGTTGTAAGCAGATTCCATCATTGATTCATATTTCTGGAATAATTGAGGTCCTGTAGGAGAAAGTAATTAAATGCTAAGCACTCATTTATGTAGCTTAGGACTGTGGGAGAACATCATTCTTTAATAATTGAGAAATTGCAAGGAAGATGGATAACATCTCTTAAGTGGTAAAATGGTGTGTATTTTTGGAGGCAATACATATGTGCCACAGAACAGGGTAAGGCTTTTGGTAGAGGTAGCTTATGAAGAGAATAGAAGAGCAGGGTATCCGCAGCATAATAGAAAATATCTTTCTTTTTAATCCCTCTGTGCTATAGTGTGCTGTGTACCTATTTTCTTCTGTCCTCCATCAAAGATGACTGCACCTTAGTAGGACTTTTTGCATTGAAATCTCTAAAATGCAATCTCTTAGATCAATAAGTAATTTTTGGAAAAACAAGTGGTTTGTTACTTTAACTTGATGTCTGTCATGTGCCAATGAGATAGGGATTTAAAAAAAAAAATATGTTAATGATTTTATGCCTGTCAGATCTATGGATTCCAAGCACTGAATCTAATTTATTTTCATTATCTTCCTTTAGCTCTGTAAACTTTTACAATGCCAAAGGAAAAACCAGTGTGAAGAACAAGCTGATTTACTTCAATCTGTCTTTCTCAGAAATAGCTTTGTTTGCTGTGTGACTGTTATAATTTTTAGAAAGATTGTGATATTAGTTTGTTATTTATATGTATTTGAATAATGCTGCAACTGGCTGGATAAATTAGAGTTACTGGAAACCAGAGTTAAAAGTCTGGAATGAAAGCTTTCAGACAGAAAGGTAACTTTCAGACTAGTGGATATAAGTTTGTCTGAACTTAAGACAATAGTTACAAAACAGTCTAGAATAGATTTGGTTGAGAATAAGCAGAGCAGCAGAAATACGAGACTTGTGGGTTTTCAGTCTAAACAGTTAATTTATAACTGGGACGATTTCATGTCAGTATGGATGCCAGAGACCTTTGGGGTCTAGAGTCTCCCCTTACTGCTGCTTGTGAACTCAGTTATTTTCTTTCCCGTGAAGGGAATCAGGAAGCAGCTGTGCTTTCCTGATTTCCTGTTGATCGATTGGTGATCACAGTATGATCCTATGAGCCCCAAGGAAAGCAGGTGTTGCTGTTATGAGAGCTCTGTGATTCCTTTTTCTTGCTTGTGTATCAGGCTGTGTTTGGTATGCAAGAGGGCAGAACTGGGAGAGGAGAAATGGAAAGCTTTGTTGAATAATTCTTTTCTTTTGTTTACAGCTATATTGTGAGACTCTCTCTTTTGTTACCATATTTTGCTGCTGAAGTAACTTCTTTAAAACAGAAGTATCTACAGTTTTGACTCTGAAGGAAACAGATTTTTCTTTAGTAGTTACATGAGTTGAGGTTGCACCTCGATTCCTGTGTTCACTTTTGGGCCCCTGACTACAAAAAGGACATTACTTGAGTGTGTCCAGAGAAGGGCAACGGAGCTGGTGCAGGGTCTGGAGCACAGGTCGTACGGGGAGCGGCTGAGGGAACTGGGGGTGTTTAGTCTGGAGAAGAGGAGGCTGAGGGGAGACCTCATCGTCTTCTACAGCTCCCTGAAAGGAGGTTGCAGAGAGCTGGGGATGAGTCTCTTTAACCAAATAATAACCAATAGGACAAGAGGGAATGGCCTCAAGTTGCACCAGGAAAGGTTTAGACTGGATATTAGGAAGCATTTCTTTCCAGAAGGGGTTGTTAGGCGTTGGAATGGGCTGCCCAGGGAGGTGGTCGAGTCCCCATCCCTGGAGGTGTTTAAGAGTTGGGTTGACACAATGCTGAGGGATATGGTGTAGCTGGGAATTGCCAGTG